ATGGGATGCAATTTTGCATTTGACTTGTTGTTGTTGGTTATGGTTGTTGACGCTGTTTTTGTTGTTGTTGTTGTGATAGTAATCATAAAACTTATTCATTAAATTAAATGATAAGTTAGTAGTATTTTATTTATTAGTAGTTTTTCGATTATCTTTGCAGCGCTTATAATAAGCCTACACTTTTGAAGCACAACAACAAAAAGCATTCAATAGATTTATGAGTTTTAATTAAATAGTGAACTCACTTTTAATACGGTTATATAACTCTTTATACTGTATATTGTATTTATTAGTTGACTAATTTTGAGCACAATTATTAGTTTTCATTGAAAATTTACGCAAATATTGGCTCTCTATTGTGTCGATTAGTTAGTATAGTGAGTGAGTGAGTGAGTAAATGAATGAATGAACAGTTAAATAGAGATTTATATTATAGTCTAAACACATACATACTTCTGGAGTCACCTACACATTGACACAAACACATAGACATCGGTGTTATACTACTTGGAGTTTTACAGTTCAATATACAGTATATACTGTTATTATTAGTGAAGCCCCGGTTCAAGAAGTGATGTGCTGTTGTGTTATGTTTTTCCAAACGCACTGTATGTTTGCAATCTGAGAGTCTCTTTGCAGTGGTGTTTACAACAACAACAACTTCTAATACTACAGTATGACTACTGTACTACCAGTGCCAGCAAGTGATGGTAGTGTTAGAAAGAGAGAGAGAAATGCGAGATTGTTTGTTGTCATCTCTCAAACATTGAATCGCGAGAATCACAACCAATATATCTCTCTTTTTCTCCAAACTCACTGTTTTCGCGTATTGAATATATTGACTATACTCTCACACATACAAACTGTCCCTCTCATAGCACTTGGAGTTTTAGTCTACATATTCTCTCTCTCTCACTCACTCACTATCTCTCTCTTTCTCTCTCCAGAAGCTGATTCCGGGTGACATACAATACGCATGCGATTCGGGTCATAGTCTCAATCAAGTCTTTAAACCATTTGATATGCAACGTAACGTAATGGCACACAAAACCCGGAGTCCACAGAACCACCGGAATCTAGTTTTTCCTTATTTTCTTTAGTTTTTTTTTGTTTCTATTCTTTTTTTAAGAACCAAAGAATTGGCTACAAATATAATGAGCCGAGACTTAGTTTGAGCACATACTGTATATGCACCAAAACACACATACACACACATGCATACACATACATACATACATACATACATACATACATACATACATACATACATACATACATACATACATACATACATACACACACACATACACAAACACACATACACACAACCAAAATACAGCAGTAGTATTAGTCTGTGTGCCGTATTTTTTCTGGACTACTAGAGAGTGATCACTAGTTGTTATTACAATTGGACTGATAATAATAATAATAATAATATAGTATTGGCAGTCAATAGCTATATATATTTGGTAAAACTAATAGAGAATAGGGGAGAGAGAGAGAGAGAAACGGGAGATAGAGAGAGAAATGACTGAATGACTTCCAGTCTATTTGATGTTATAGTTAATGACTCGAACTTTTCAGACTCTGCAAGAAATCAACTCATTTCCCATTAAATCTCTTCACAAAATTTTTGGTCTCTTTTTTTCACTACAAATACAGATACCTAATGTTGTGCTAAATATTGTGAGTAAATGCTCTGTGTGTGCGAAAGAGAGAGAGAGAGAGAGAGAGAGAGAGAGAGTTTGAAATTGGAAATGAGTTTTCACTTCAATTTTGGCGTGACTTAGGAGCTAATGGTTGGACTTAAAGCACGGGTAGAACAACCATCGTTAGGTTAGACCTTAAATACATTGAGTAGTAGTCAAACATTTTTTGGTCAATTTAAGAACTATTTCTGTTGCTATATGTTTCTCTCTCTCTCTCTCTCTCTTTCTTTCTCTCTCACTCACTCACTCTCTCACTCACTCACTCATCCAATATCTTAACTCAATATCTCAAATGAGTTGACTATAACTTAAAATGAATGAATGAGTGAACGAATGAACAGTTAGATTGAAGGCAACACCAAAAATAATAAGATTCAATTTATTAGCGAAAAGCTCAATGTATAGCACCAGTAGATAATAAGTCTACTGTATATTAGAAACTTTCTAATAGTATAGTACTGTTATGTTGTGTTAACTAAAAAAGGTTAGTTAAAAAGTCTTAAAAATTTTATTTTATATAAAATTTGTTTCACTATTAGTTTTTGTTGTGTTGTAGTTGTGATGACATATTATATCTATATTTTTTTCAATTGCATGACGATATCAGTTTCATATAATAGTTTTGAAGATTTTTATGTTTTATTGTTTGTTATCACATTTTTTTAGGAAATTGAATTTATTTCATAAAAAATTAAGTTTTCTTATATTATATCAATATATATGATATATACCGATATACAGTAGTATAGCATAACATGATATTAATTGTCTAATAAACTGTTTATGATTGACATCAGACAAATAATATATTGGATTTTTTTTTAATTAAAACATTTTGTTTATTGATTTTCAAATTTAATTTATATTTTAACTTTTATCCCATATTAATTATGATCTACCATGTATATAAAAAACGTAATACAGTATATAGTTTTTATTTTATATATTAGTTTTTTATAATGTAAATAATGAATGATATAATTTATTAATGGTTTAACTTTTATTAATAAGTTAACCGTAAGTTTCTAAAATTTATAAATTATTTAATTTAAGTGATTTGCATAATATTTTTGTTGAATTTTCATTTTACTTAACTTGTCTAACGTAAGTACAGAATATTATATTTTATTTGATCTATAATTTTAATCGATTTTAACGTTACTTTAAAAATAAATTTTTAATTATTATTTATTATGTATTAGTAATAATTAAAAAAATATTATATTAAAACTTTGAGAATAATTAATTTTTTAAAAACATAAATAAGACATTCAGTTCATTATTAAATATTTATTATTTGTTTTTTAATAGTATTTTAGCATTTTGTAAAATCTAATTTATACAGAATATATTTATAATTAATTTGAATTTATTATTATATATTATTTTTCTCAGATATCATTTGTTATATTATTTAGATTTCATGTTATGATAAATTATACGACTGTTTACCCGATTGTTCGCTAATATATATTTTAAAAGCAATTTTCTTTAGGGAATAGCAAAAGAATTTGAGTTATTTTTAACACAATTTTTCAAAAATAAAAAATTTAATGCATATTTTGCTTACAATTTTATAACAAATGATTTTTTTCACAAATCAAGTGAACATTAAGACAAAGACAGCTATTGAAAGAAAGTGAGTGAATGAGAGAGAGAGAGAGAGAGAGAGAGAGAGAGAGAGAGAGAGAGAGATAATGATGTATTTTTTAGTGAATACTATAATATCGACATCAGTATTATAAGGAAATACTGTAATAATAATAATACTGAAAAAAATATTTAAAGATTTACTTGTAATACTACAACAAATAATAAAAAACTGATTAAATAATATAAAATGTATTTATTTTTATTTTATTTTTTTTTTTGAATCCGTATTCTTACTAATAATTGTGACTAACTTTTAATCTTATGTTAAATAAAAATTTTATTTTTACATGATATACTGTAAATATATAAAACATTGTATACGATTGTTATATAACAATAATATTGTTAGACTTTAATTAAATTTCACATTAAATTTGTAGACATTTAGTATTTTTGTTTTTTTTCGTTTCTTATTTTTCTATTGAGATTATATCACAGTTACGACACACACACACAATGAAACTTCAATGCAAAACAACAAAAAGTTTTGACATTTATTTGCTATACATAAGCAATACTTTAGTATAATTTATTGAATTGATCTAAACGTACAATTATATGGCAATTTGTTTAAAAATGTTTTTTATAGCATATTAAAAATAATTATAATATGATTATATTGTATTTATTGTTGTTATTTAGTCAAATATTAATTATATAGATTGTCAATCAATGTCAATATGACATTCAAATATGTCATATAAAATATATTTTAATCAAAAAATATAATGATTCATATATATACATTAATTTAATATTCATATATTCAACGTTTAACTTATAATATATTATTATTATATTTATATCTATATTATGGTACGAAATAAACTTAGATTATATATTACCAGAAAAAACCGGAACCGCAAACGGTTTCGGTTCGCTTTAGTTCATATCTCGGGTTTTTTATATCATTGATTTTAAATACTTGATTCAATGTAATTATTTTTTATTAGTCATAATTGTAAATAAATTGTAAATTATTATTGATTTTTATTTATTGCACTTTTAGTTTACAATATGTTAATAAATTAATAACATATTGTATACTAACATTACTTAAAAAGGTTAATCTAAAAAAATAAAATCTTTACATTTTAATATAATTCTAAATATATCTAATATATTTATAAAAGTTTAAATATTATTAATGCTATTTTATTATAAAAATTCATAATTATAAGCAAAATTAACAAAATAATTATAACTATTATACAGTATTTGATGATTATTTAATAATATTTAATTAAGAATTTTATTGACTAATATATTACTGAAAATAATTTAATCCTTAAAATAATTACTCAAAAAAATTTGTAAAACAAATTTATGAAATATTAAAGAAAAATATAACACTACTATTATTGTTAATAATAATAATAATATCATATCATATTTAATATTAAATGTTAATATTTGCTATTTGATACTAAAATACTTTAAATTCTATTGAACTCTGGAAATATATGGGAAAAATAAAATTCAATCTCAAAATGTATTATAAATAAAGTATTTAATTACAATTATTTGACTGAAAAACAAAATAAAATAACTGTAAACTAATGTGTAATTCTAGTGTTTAGTCACTTATTTTCAATACAATTATATATGTTTTCGCCACCCTTTTCCTGCATCGGCATAATGACCGGTATGTTTGATCCAATAGAGTTGGACGTATCGCTGGACGTGTACGGCGGTTCGTACGCGCACACTGTGCACGCGTTTCTCTGGTCGCGCAACCCGTCCACTGGCATTGCCTACGCACTGATGCAACTGAAAAGCACCGGTCGATTTGGTTTTCCCGGCGGACGTACTGAACAATCGCCAGTCGACGGCCAGGTAGTAATCGAAACGCTCTATCGGGAAGTCTGGGAAGAGATGCACTACCAGCTCGCCGACGGCCAGATCACAATCGCCGATCATCTGTGCAGTCATGTGGTTCACTCCAAACACGGCAAGTGTTATCACTTTTTTGCCAAACAGTTGGCGTACGAAGATTTTTTGGTCGCCGAAACTAGCTATACGTCGGCCGAATCGTTTCCCGACGAGTTGGTCGGCGTTATTCGGGTACCGTTGGGCCGAACTGACGACGACAGGTGTAAAGAGGTTCGGCTATTCTTCGATGGTTTTGTCGAACAGTATTTCTCCGGTAATACCAGAAACCAGTTGTTGGTGTCGTTGAGAAAATTGAAAGTCATGTCCGATGAAGACTTGAAGTTTGTTTTGAAACAAAACAAATCAATTGATTTTTAAAAATAATTATCAAACAAAACATAAGATTATTATTTTTATTATTAGTATAACACCATATATTTAAAGTAATTTGAAATTTTATTGATTTAATTTAGTATTAATTTTAACTTTACCTAATATTGAGTGTTAAAATGTTTAAATAATTTTGTGTATATCTATTTGTTTTTTTTTGTTTTCTTTAAAATTGATTTCATATACCGGTAATTATCAATTTTTATTATTATTTAATATATATAATTTTAATTAAATCCGAAAATAAGTACCGTATATGCTTTATTAGTTTATTAATTAATTAATTAATTAAATAATTTTTTTTTAAATATTTTTGATTTATAAATTCTATTGGCAAATAAAATTTATTTAATTTAAATTAATTAAAAATATTCATCAATTATTAATTAAAAGTAATTCTAATAAATAACTTATTAGTGAGTTAGTATAATTTATTTTTTTATATTTGTTTTGATTAAATATTTATTTTTCATTTAATATTTACAACATATATAAAATAAACAATTTTATTGCATAAATTTTTAATAATTTTAAAAAAATCTTTCCATGTAATTAAAATCACTAATTTCATTAATTGATTGCTTTATATATTACAATTAAAATAATTTATTGTTTTTTTAGTTAGTAATAATATTTGATAAAATATCAATTAAATAATGATAAGCACTTTAACATTAAATACTAAACACTGTTAAAGTCGTAATATTTATTTAATAGAAATTAGTTATAGTTTTAACTAGTTTTATAAATTACTAATAACAAAAAATATTTTATTTACAATTAATTCTGAATTATAAATAAGTCATAAATTTAATTTTAATTTATATGTAATATTTTTATATTACTTTTATAATAATTATTATTAAAATATATTAATACTTATTAAGCATTGTATTGCCATCTATTATTATAAATAATAAAATTTGTTTTTATAAAAATCAACTAGATGGTACTTAAGTAAATAATACAAAACATTTTGAAAAATATAATTATAACTAAACTATAATTTTTAATATCTATATAATTATTATTAGTTGTTTTAATTATATGTGAATTTTATTTATTATATATTTTTTAAGTTAAACATAAGTTTTAAAAATTATTAATGATTTCTCAAGTTATCAATAATATAAGATGTTATAATATTTGTAAAATAGTTATAAATTTATGGTTGTATTTTTTTTAAAAAGTCTACAGTATTTTAATAAAATAATTTTTTTAAATATATTTTCTATTCAATATAATTTAATTGATATATTTTTACGAGATATCTTACTATTTAATTTATTTTTATCATTTTAATCTTTATCAATTTTCAAATAATGATTATAATTTATTAACACTAATATTGTATTTTTCTAACAAAAAAAATAACAACAAAATCCAATTTAATATATCAATACATTATATATAAAAAAGAGTTTAAAATATTATTTACTAATCAATAGTTATAAATATTTAATAACTTAACTAAAAATTTTTTACAGTCAATTAATAAATAAATAATTTAAATTTAAACTATCTATAAATTATAAATTTTATTACTGCAAATTTTGAACTAAATTTTATAAAGATAATAGTCTTTTAACAGATTTTTTGTTGATTGAATCGACAATAAAAATATATTTTTTTTGTAAATTAAAAGTATATTCTCTTTTCATTCATTCATTTAAATTTATTGTGACATTATTTTCACAGTAAATAAATTTTAACAAAAAAATAAAATACACTAAAATGAGATAAACAACTGAAAGTTTTTTTTTGTTGTCAGTCACAGTCTATTAGTGAATAAATCAAAACAAATAAAATAATAGACAATAAAACCAATTTAACAGATCTATCTATCTATTCATAAGTCAATTGAGTGAATATTGCGCTAAAATTTGTTTCATAAATTTTTTTGTTTTGTTGTTATTATAATCTTTTAAGTTATCCATTTAAATAGTTTAGACAAACTTTTATTTATTTATTTTTCTTATAAAAGGAGAATCAAAAAAAATAAAAAAAATAAAACGGTATTTAAGCCTTAAATCAAATAAATTATTCATTTTTTTCATTCAATAGCCTCTTATAAAGTACAGTATTGTCTGATAATAGCACTCTTCAAACTAAACTCATCGCTCATCCCTTTCCTTTACCATCAATGAGTAGACTGTCTATTGTGTCCACAAGTTTTTTATGTATATATATATATATAAATATATATAAATTACAATACACTCACTCTTTTTTAAGCATTTATTTATCATTATACCCGTTAGATATAATAGAGGAGTGGCTCTCTATACAAAAATATATATATATATATATATAGTTTAGTTGTTGATAAATAACATTAACAACAACAACAAAAAATACATTAATAGTATATCTATAAAAAAAAGTAAAACGATTTTTTACTCTCTCTCTCTCTCTCTCTCTCTCTCTCTCTCTCTCTCCCTTTCATTCATTATTATCATTATATTTATAAATAAATATACTTTTTTTCTATGGTTTTGTCGTCCAAATAAAAGTGATTTCTTTTTCTTTCTTCTTTTTTTTGGTCATACAGTGCTTTCCATAGATAGTAATAATAATAATAAATACAAAACATCACACCATTTGATGGCATTATTGTGTGTCTGTATGTCTATCGTCATCAACAATCAAAGTGCTCGCACACACATAAAAAATACTCGTAAATTAATATCTATTAATAAATAATGGCCTTAAATATTGTCGACAGCTTTTTGTTTGCTCTCTCTCTCTCTCTCTCTCTCTCTCTCTCTCTCTCTCAGCCAAAAGCACTTTTATAGCCACACTATTGTGATGTTGTTATATATTGTTTATTAGATGGTATGGTGTGGTGACTGTCCCTGTTTGGTGTGGCGGCTATTAATTGTGTGGGTGAGACTCATGTTTGTACTGTATGTCATAGTTTTGGCGATGATGTATAGCATTTGCGGTCAATTTTGTATGTGTATTGAAAATGATGATCCTTTTGAATGGCAAAATGGCTATTCAAACTGTCTCTACAATTAATAGTCAAATATCATATATAGTTTTCCCTTTATCTCTCTCTCTCTCTCTCTCTCTCTCTCTCTCTCTCTCTCTCTCTCTCTCTAATATTTCACTGATCCCTGAAGGGTGTTGTTGTTGTTGTTATAGTAGTGGCCAACAATCCCGTCCAGCGTTATCATCGCCGCCATCACACAACTGTCTAAATATGCCATTACGGCACTGGTATTCATTAGATTTGCAAACAATGCCCACATTACTATTATTATAATATTAGTATTAATAATACTGTACTATAGTATTATATTTGTGTGTAATATTTTTTGTTTGTTTGTTTGTTTGTATAAATTCATTGATGTGTAGAGAAAGAGAGGGAGAAAATTGCGGAATATTCCGTGAGAGCCAAACAATTTATACAAACATATATTGTATTAAAATAGATAGACATAAGGAATATATTATACAATATCCAAAAAATAATAATAATAATAATAATACAATAGTCGACAACGGATAAGTTGAACACATAAATAGATAGAAAATAAAGAGAGAAAAAAATGTTTATTATATAACTTATATATAGTATATATAAATAAATATATTAAAAGAGAAACAAAATTCAATAAAAGGGATTTCAATCAATTCATATATATTATGGATAAATATCTACTCAATGTATGTAATTTATATACAGTATATATATATATATATATATAAATTTATGTGTGTATATGTATTATGCAACACATCAGTTGTATCAATAATATTGCTATTGCTATGACTAAAATAAATGATATTAAATTTAGTTTTGGGGTTATATTCAACTCATTTCTCTTATTATTATTTTTTTGATTCACTTTTAGTATATATATATAATAGAAAAGAAAATTATTTCAAATAGCATTCAAGTTTGATGATAATTATAGATAATATTAAATTCTTAGTAATAGTGTACAACATTTTTGAATATTTACTATATTCTATGATATATATAATTTATATAAACTGACATTTTATGTCATTAAGGCTATAATAGACTATAGATTTTGCAATATTCACTGCCAATAATACCACATTTGTCACATATTTTATTTTTTCAATTCATATGCATTTTTTCTCAAATAGTATTTCCAAACAAATACTGCAATTCATTGTATTATATATACTATATATTATATTTAAATTCTGTGTCTGTTTTGTGTATTATTACTGGGGTTTGTGTCTATAAAACAATTTATCATTTTATATATATATATTGAAATATTGATGTATACAATGTTTATAAAAACAACGTTTGATGTACTCTATCATCAATGGGTACAGTAGTAAAATAAAAAAAAGGATAGCAGTTTTTGTATATTGGATTCATTGTGATCCATAGCTACTCTCTCTCTCTCTCTCTCTCTCTCTCTCTCTCTCTCTCTCACTCACTCACTCACTCACTCACTCACTCACTCACTCACTCACTCACTCACTCACTCACTCACTCACTCACTCACTCACTCACTGAAAGTAGTAACAAAACGCCTCAATTAGTATACATTTTCTGAATTACACGTGAATTGAATATTTTTTTATCTAAAAAACTATTAATTGAAAAAAATGTAAAAAAAACACTAAATTAATTAACAAATATATTGTTATAGTCTGTGTGTGTGTGTATGTGTTTGAGGAAACATATAGGCTGTCAGAGATTGGGAGAGAAAGAAAAAAAAATAGGAAGCATTGAGATGTAGTAATTAAATGTTTTTTTTCTTCTCTACTCCTTTAGAAACCCAGCAAATGAATAGTCTATCAGATCATAAAAAAATAAAAAAAAGAGAAAATAAGTAGAGCACAGCCCTAATAATAAAACAACTGTACGATACTTGAAATTTATGACTACAATAGCAAAAAACACTAACAAATAGTAAAGTAAGATAACAATGTAGAGTATAATCTAACCTTTTATTGTATTTACTACTACAGTATAAATTTATATTTATATATATTTATTTTATTTTTTTGTAAGCTAATAATTACAGGAAATATCATATATATATATATACGACATATGTATATACAGTATTTATTTGATATTGTTATATAAAAATGAGTTTTTTTGTGTG